AAAAAAAAAAAAAGGAATAGTATTTGAATATAACCTACATCCTCCCATATACTTTATTTTTCCCCATATACTTTAAATCATCTCTAAATTACTTATACTGAATGCAATGGTTCTTACACTACATCATTTAGGGTAATTGTAAGAAAAAAATCCTGTACATGTGCAGTACAGAGACAATTTTAAAAGAATATTTTTAATCCATTGTTGATCAAATTTAAGGATATGGAACCCATGAATGTGGAGGGCCTATTGCATTAACTTCAGATCTTAAAAAGAAAGGAAAAAGAAAAAAAGAGAAAGGGAAAAAATAAAGTATTACTGTCCTCTTTGTCTCTTTTTATCCTTTCTTCCCAGAAATTACATTTTTTCTTAAAGGTGGTATGTATCATTATCATGTTTGTTTTCCAACTTTTGCTCCATAAGCAATATATCCTATTATCCTGGAGATGTTTTAAATATTTACATAAACAGTATCTTGATATATGGAACTTGCTTTTTAAAACTTAATATTGTTTTTAGAGGCATATCCATGTGTGTAGTTAAGCTTATTTACTTTTCTCTAATAAATATGGAAGGGATACTGTATTGTTATACCTTGCTACAGCTTGGCAATATAATGGTACATTACTGTCAGATTTTTCTCTCTAATTTGAGCATCTCTCTACGTATCTGTTAAACATTCAGATTTCCTATTCTGTGACTTTTCTGTTCAAATACTGTGATCATTTTTCTATTGGATTTGTTCTTTCTTTTCTATTTGGTCATTAGAAATTCCTTGTGGGCTCTGGATACTAGGTCTTAGTTATATAAGTTGCGTATACCTTACCTTCTCTTTATAGCTATCTGTTCCATAGTTTATTACGTCTTTGGCCACACCAAAATTTTTGTTTATAGTGTATCAGATGTATCATTTTTCCTCTATAACCTTTTTCTATGCTAAAGTCATCATTACAATGTCTTATTTTCTCTTGAACATATTTAGTGTTCGTATTAATATTTACGTTTTCAGTGCACCTAGAATTTATTTTTCTGTTTGATAAAAGGTAGAAATCTAATTTTTATTCCATATAAATAATCAATATAATTGAATGGGTTGTAAATATTAAGAGACAGAGACTCAGATTGAACTGAAATGGACATTTAAAAAAATTTTTGCAGATAAAGCTGTATGTATTATTGTGTGTGTGATGTTTGGATTGCATATATGATATAAAATGACTAAATTTAAATAAGTAATATATGTATTACTTCATATAGTGATCATTTTTTGTGGTGGGAACTCTTTACTTTTCACCCTCTTAGCATTTTTTAAGAATATAATATATTGTTACTGAGGTTACCATATTGTACAACAGAATTGTAGTTACCATGTTGTACAACATAATTGATATTTGTACCCTTTTCCCAACATTTTCCAAACTACCACACCCCAAACATCTTAAACATGTTTTTATACTGTTGAAAATACTAATTTGCAAAATATCTCTATTTGAATTATTTGTTCCTCCATGAGGATATTGAAATGTATAAGTAAAAAATGATTGAAACTACAGGGACATCAAAACTATCACAAGGAAAAAAATCTGTGTAATTGTCCTATAAACTGAAGATCAAATAGACAAAAATAACTAATACACTTGATTTATATGTGTGTTTGTAATTTTATTTTCAGATTAAAAACATGATAAAAATCCATTTTAAATGTCTGTGGAGTCCTTAAAAAACTCATCAATTATTAGGCCACAAAGAAAAGCTTATATATTTTGTAAAATGAACATTGCAATAGACACAGTTCCTGACCACAGTGCAGTAAAACTAGAAATGTACCATAAAAGAATAGCAAAATCTTTACCCAATTAGAAATTTTAAACCAACATTGTTGAAAGGATATTAAAGCACAGATTATGAATTACTGGAAAATGGCAATGAGAACTCCACTTATCAAAAATTATGGGATGTAGACAAAGACATTTAAAGGAGGGCCAGGATTTAGCTCAGTTGTTCCACCACCTGCCTCGTAAG